CACAGTGAGGGGGGGGCTGAGCCCAAAAATCCCAGAAATCCCAAAAATCCTCAGTGAGGGGGGGGCTGAGCACAAAAATCCCCGAGGAGGGGCCCACCCTTGTCCCCACCCTGATGTCCCCACCCTGTCCCCAGCCCTGTCCCTGTCATTGTCACTGTCCCTGTCCCCTCACCGGATCCTCTGCTCCTTGTCCCTGTCCCTGTCATTGTCATTGTCGCTGTCCCCTCACCGGATCCTCTGCTCCCTGTCCCTGTCGCTGTCCCTGTCCCTGTCATTGTCCCTGTCCCTGTCGCTGTCCCTGTCCCTGTCATTGTCACTGTCGCTGTCCCCTCACCGGATCCTCTGCTCCCTGTCCCTGTCCCCATCCCTGTCCCTGTCATTGTCACTGTCGCTGTCCCCTCACCGGATCCTCTGCTCCCTGTCCCTGTCATTGTCACTGTCGCTGTCTCCTCACCGGATCCTCTGCTCCCTGTCCCTGTCCCTGTCCCTGTCATTGTCCCTGTCCCTGTCCCTGTCCCCATCCCTGTCCCTGTCATTGTCACTGTCGCTGTCCCCTCACCGGATCCTCTGCTCCCTGTCCCTGTCGCTGTCCCGGAGCTGCTCCAGCCACTCGCGGGGTCCGGAGAATCCCTGCAGGCTGCGGGACAGCGCCACCACCAGGGACGCGGGGTCACCTGCGGGGACACAGTGTCACCTGGGGGACAGAGTGACACCTGGGGGACCCCAAAGTGTCACCTGGGGGGACAAAGTGACACCTGGGGGACCCCAAAGTGTCACCTGAGGGACAGAGTGACACCTGGGGGACCCCAAAGTGACACCTGGGGGGACACAGTGTCACCTGGGGGTGATAAAGTGACACCTGGAGGGGACAAAGTGACACCTGGGGGACCCCAAACGGACTCAATTTAACCCCAAACTGCAGCAGCCGCGCCCGGTCACGGTTTTACCAGAACTGCCACATTTTGACCCCAAATTTCATCATTTTGACCCCAAAGTCCCAATCTGTGTCCCCAAAGTCCCAATCTGTGTCCCCAAAATCCCCATTTGTGTCCCCAAAGTCCCAATCTGTGTCCCCAAAATCCCCATTTGTGTCCCCACTGCCCCAACACAGCCGAGGTTTCCAGAAGACGTCGGAATTCCGCAGCAGCCGCGCCCGGTCACGGTTTTACCAAAATTCCCTCATTTTGAGCCCAAATTTGCCTCATTTTGACCCCAAATTTCGATGTTTTGACCCCAAATCTCTTCTTTTTGACCCCCAAATCCCGATGTTTCCCCCCTCACCGTGCACAGCCAGCCGTGGTTTCCAGAAGACATCGGAATTCCTCAGCAGCTGCCGCCGGTCGCGGTTTTACCAAAATTTCCTCATTTTGACCCAAAACTGCCTCATTTTGACCCCAAATTCCCTCGTTCTGACCCCAAATTTCCTCCTTTTCACCCCCAATTCCCGATCTTTCCCCCTCACCCTGCACGGCCAGCCGAGGTTTCCAGAAGACGTTGGAATTCTGCAGCAGCCGCGCCCAGTCACAATTTCACCCAAAATTTCGTAATTTTCACCCCAAATTCCCTTGATCTGACCCCAAATTTTGTTGTTTTGACCCCCAAATCCCGATGTTTCCCCCTCACCCTGCACGGCCAGCCGGGGTTTCCAGAAGACATCAGAATTCCTCAGCAGCTGCTGCCGGTCGCGGTTTTACCAAAATTTCCTCATTTTGACCCAAAATTTCCTCATTTTGACCCCAAATTTCATCATTTTCACCCCAAACTTCCTCCTTNGCCGGTCGCGGTTTTACCAAAATTTCCTCATTTTGACCCAAAATTTCCTCATTTTGACCCCAAATTTCATCATTTTCACCCCAAACTTCCTCCTTTTGACCCCCAATTCCCGATTTTTCCCCCCTCACCGTGCACAGCCAGCCGAGGTTTCCAGAAGACGTCGGAATTCCTCAGCAGCTGCCGCCGGTCGCGGTTTTACCAAAATTTCCTCATTTTGACCCAAAATTTCCTCATTTTGACCCCAGATTTCCTCATTTTCACCCCAAACTTCCTCCTTTTGACCCAATTCCCGATGTTTCCCCCCTCACCGTGCACAGCCAGCCGAGGTTTCCAGAAGACGTCGGAATTCCTCAGCAGCTGCCGCCGGTCGCGGTTCACGGCCACCACGGCGGCGCCGCGGCCGAAGAGGCGCCCGTAGGAGAGACGGAAATCGCAGACGGTGCCTTGGGGAGGGGACAGGGGACAGGGGGGGGAGGATCAGGAGGGGACAAAGGGACACCCAGGGGTGTCTGTCCCCCCCCAGGCCAGCCGGGCTCACCTGCCAGCAGCACGAGGTCGGCGCGGCGCAGCGCCTCCCGGCGGTTGTGCCGCAGGAGCAGGGGGCACTCGGGGGGCAGCAGACCCCGGGCGGCGCCCCCCAGGTAGCAGGGGACACCCAGGGACAGCAGGGCTGAGCTGGGGACAGGGGGGGGAAAAAAAAAATAAAAATTCAAATCGGAGGTTTGGACACAAAATTGGATCGGTTCGGACACAAACGGGATCGGTTTGGAGCCAAAAAATGGCTCAGTCCAGATTTGGTTTGGCCCCAAAAATGGCTCAGTCCAGGTCCCAAAATGGCTCAGTTTGGTCCCAAAAATGGCTCAATTTGGGTCCCAAAAATGGCTCAGTCCAGATCCCAAAATGGCTCAGTTTGGGTCCCAAAAATGGCTCAGTTTGGGTCCCCAAATGGCTCAATTCAGGTCCCAAAATGGCTCAGTTTGGGTCCCAAAAAAATGGCTCAGTTTGGGTCCAAAAATGGCTCAATTCAGGTCCCAAAATGGCTCAGTTTGGGCCCCCAAATGGCTCAGTTTGGGCCCCCAAATGGCTCAGTTTGGGTCCCAAAAATGGCTCAGTTTGGGTCCCAAAATGGCTCAGTTTGGGTCCCAAAAATGGCTCAATTCAGGTCCCCAAAAATGGCTCAGTCCAGGTCCCAAAATGGCTCAATTCAGGTCCCCAAAAATGGCTCAATTCAGGTCCAAAAATTGACTCAGATTGGCTGCAAAAATGGCTCAATTCAGATCCCCAAAATGGTTCAGTTTGGCCCCAAAAATTCCTCAATTCAGATCCAAAAAATGGCTCAGTCCAGATTTGGTTTGGCCCCAAAAATGGCTCAGTCCAGATCCCAAAAATGGCTCAGTTTGGCCCCAAAAATGGCTCAATTTGGTACCAAAAATGGCTCAATCAGGTCCCAAAAAGTCTCATTTTGTCCCCAAACCCGGCTCAGTCTGGGGCCTGGGCTGGGTCCCTGAGCCCGGGCGGCGCCCCCCAGGTAGCAGGGGACACCCAGGGACACCCAGGGACACCCAGGGACACCCAGGGACACCCGGGGACACCCAGGGACA